GCACAGTTTCCCTCTTGCCCCGTAGAATCGGTCTGTTATCTTCCTGGTTCAAGTATTTCACTCGACACATGCCACCCCATCTGTGCTACTCGAGGTCGAAGGATCGGCCTCACTTGTCTCTTTGACGAGCTGTAGTGTGGTGCCAAGAATGGCAAGACTCACTGACGATGCCGCCTACGATGCCGTCGAAACGTCTGGGAATGCATCAAGTCTACGCCTCGACTCTTGACAAGATGCGTTCCTCTCCATCATCCTGTCAATATGACCATGTTGCAAAAACAATTTCAAACAATTTCTATATAAGATTCCGTCCCATCCTGGGTCGTTTGGGGTAATTTGTGGACTGATACTTAAACATTCCACATTTGAGTGAGTCGACCTGATCAGACGACTATAGTTAACATGAATTTTCTTTCCAAAAGACTTCCTCATTCAGGACTAACTACAATTTACCACAAGCAATGGTAGGGTTTCCGCTTGACGTGCAGAACCCGGTTTTGAATTCCTTTGGTCACGATGTCGAAATAGTAGTCCACCCCGTGGGTGAAGGTATCTCGTGGAGAAAAGCTGTAAAATCTAATGGAATCGTGAAATTTATTAATTCCATTATGTAAAATTTAACAATCAGCCTGTGCATCACATTAAATTCGAATTCTTATTCAAGATATGTCTACTCATTGAATAAAGCTGTTTTAACTGGTTTAGTATTGCATGATAACGCATCTGCCGCCAAATCACACATTCCACATCATTAGTTTACTGAATTTGTTGGCAAGTACGCAGTTGCTTGATAAGAAACTTTACCATATAACGATGCTAATTAAAGTAAGTTTGTTTAGCCTGGAAATACATGATTTTCGCGTATAACGATGCAGATACTAATTTCTCTTCCTCTTAATTAACACGAGCCAAATTCTATTCCCGCAGGAAGTGGTGATGAAAATATGAGATGATAATACAAAGTCAAAAGTTCTCTCCAGCTTGAATCAGAACGATTAGGATGTATGGCAAAGTTAAACTACATTTAAAAATTAAGTATCCTTTATAATCTATTGTAGGCAGACTTGCAATTAATCCATTAGGAAACCTATCGAAACTGGTATGCCCCGACAAAAATAAGCTATAAGTCTGCTTCAGAACTAAACTATTATTTGCTCCATGATTAAGGTGGATGCTGGTCTAGAGTCAACGCGATTTCAGTCGTGAAGGAGGAAAGCTTAGCGAATAATTTTCTAGACAAATGAATCACCATACCATTAATAGCTTCTCCATAGGGTGAGGAAGCACTAGTAGTCAATTTTTCCCACAATCATATGAGTAGGCATCACGTTTCCATTAAATTTCGCATAGTCTTGCTCCCCAAAGAATGTTATCATCCAGGTAAGCAAGAGTATGTGAAATCTAATAATAACGTGAGGTCTATCCATATGATAGTGGAAAACTTTAAATACCAGTCCATTTATGACCTTAAACAAAATAGAGTGAATACAGCTCTTAAGACAGATCTACTGGTAGCTCGAAAACCTACATATGAGATGAAAAATATTCTCACCTATTTAAATAACACTCTATTCAATTTGATTATCTAACCTCACCTCCAGATTCTAGTGGGTTTTTCATGCAGGCTAAACGAATTATATGTTGACTCCCCTGTGCTATAATTAATGCCAGGGAATCGGACGTTTATATGTGAATGTTGTTGTCAATGTTTTTTCACATGTTTATTGAATGATGGCTTGTTGTTGTGCCCTATCAAATAAGGGAGTTTTCCACTTTTGCACTCTGGCGAGATTCATTTATGATACAAATGTCTTTCGTACGTGTGTGAGACTGCTTAGCCAATTTTTACTGATTACCACGCATATAAAACCATGAAGCGACTTCGTGCTTACTTAAAAGTTTCTGCAGGTCCAAATGCAGTGCTGGATACCATCTCGAACCACAGTTTGAGGATCAACGGTATCATTGCTGCGTGATAAATTGTAACTAGAGCCAAAGATCATTTGATACCGAAGCATGGATTTAACGAATGATTGAAGTAAATCTTTTGGAAAGTCACGTAGTCTGAGTAAGGACCAGGAAACGAATACTTGGGTAGACGTGAAGAAAAACTGTTTCAAAGAGTCTTTTAATAAATGTGTTTTGACGCACCTTTCATTTAGTTGGAAGTGGCGGGTGGAAGGGATTCGTAAATTTGTCTCACCGGAAGCCGAAGGAGGATCTCTTAGAATAGTAAATATAAATTTTGGCGAATTAATTCTCGGTGCACTGTCCCGCAACTCGGAGATATCCATCCCTCGATTCCGTCCGTCATAGGACAGGAATCATCAAAGCATAACACTATGCTTGACTTCAATTCACCTAACACGACTTAAAAACGATAGCCGTCATCATAAGGCCCGAATTTGCTCACTTAATGAGAAATCTCATGATTTTTTGTCAATTTTGTGCTTTGCTTACATTCTTGCAAAGAAGCAAAGTGATTGCGAATGGCATGTGGAGCGAATGGGTTTGTGAACGAACAGCTGAATTCTCTCCTAGATCATTTGTATTCTTGATTCTGCAATGCTAACGCATGTAATTGGGTTCCATTTCAAGTGTGTTGTGTTCATGCAATCCTCGTGATTCGTGGAAGCTATGACTGCAAGCCAGATTAAAGGCTAATCTAGTCTCCTGCTCTTTTCTCGGAGGTACTTCTTTTTCCCTCCATTTCGTTAAGCATATCCAACATCCACAAGTAGTTTCAGCTCACTTTCCTAAACTCATTCATGATTCACAGGGTGTTGGTCGTTTTGTTGATTCCTATAGACTCTCTAGTCTTCTATTTACTGGCATAATCTCAATATGCTGCTAAAAGTTTGGCTTTATAAGGAACCTGTCTCTTGCCGATGTTAATCACCGAGGGCAAGAATTGAAGCTATTAAAGACAATCTTAATAGGTAATAATTGCCAACGGGATTAATTGACAAGTACTTTAGGATATTGGCAAATATGATTGAGGAAGGCATATATTTAAGGAAAGATAGAAGGTTAGACCACCCTACTAAGGTCCTGATGTTGCCATAATGTCGGTTAGCGAAAAAGATAGGTGAGTTACTGGGGCAGTGGGACATGAGAATATTGGATAAATAGAAAATATCACTTTCCCCAGAAAGACTAACTTCTCTAGAATTTTCAGTTCCCCTCTACAAATCATACTGTTACCAGTTTTTGATGTAATTCGTTTCCGAGACAATCAGTAATTCTTGAATACGAGCTTACAGTCTAAATCTTATAGTTTAAAAGCGAATAACCTCCAAAACAACTTATATCAAAAATGACTAGCGTTGTCTGTTGAAATTACAAACACATGTTTGCCTATTGTGACATGACTTTCCGTTCCGAAGGAAAAGTTGGTTGGAAGGAATCCGAGATGCGTCCGCACCGGAAACAAGAGGAGGATTACCATTTGGCTAGGAATGTTGTTTTATGCTATCCTTTCGTCTGTCTTCGAGCACGCCTGGGCCTCATCCACATCCCCAGTGGGAATCGAACCGCGGTAGTGCAGGGTATAGTTTTGAAATGCTGCAAATTCGCCAAACTGTGGGATAATCGTCACTTTAAAAGCGAACTAGACCTCTCTCATTCAACATGCGTTTTCGATTACGGTCGACAGCATTAGTTGTATTTTCATATTGGTCTTTGGAAACTATCACTATAGCTTAAATACGAAGTTGAGTCAACCTGGATTAGTTTAAGGCATGAAGAACCTAAAGTGAATTTTATCCTAATAATATACGTAGGTCTCACAGTGCTCAGACTAAAACTGTAGACTATCCTGGATGGAAATATCTCTTGAGAGGCAAGGATTAGCAAAAGGTC